ACAAGCCCCAGTAGCCCTCGGCAGAGGTAACTCACAAAGCTAACTTGCAAACATTAACGCCTTAATAAAATTGGCTTAGCTAAATTATTTCTAGTGTGGCAGCTAGCTGTGAGGAGGTTTTTAATAAACAGGCAAAGTGTGGGGTTTTTAAACCCTCCTTCATATTCATTAACTTATTCGAGCTTCACAGAGATAGAGTTCTGGGATATGCTCACTCACAGATTCAAACCTACAACAAACTGGGTGACTTATAGATGTGATAATAGCACTACTTGCCCTTGGGCCACTTATCGTGCATGTGGGAACAGACAGTTAGTGACAGAGGCACAAAGTGAAAGAAGCATGGCTCCCGAGAATGCAATGCTTTGCCTTAAGTCAGACAACAGGAAAGTACTAGAACAAAGTTTTCCTCTGAGGCCTCCCAAGTCTAAGCTCAGACCACTCTCAAAGACATCTACAGCTCTTTTAAAATTGACAAACTTTAGCAGAAGGAAGTAGGAAAAACTAAATTTCCCAAAGCAAGGTTTAGTCAATTCAAGGACTAGCGAACCAGGCGCTGTGGAGTCAAACCCGACTCTGGACATCCCAGATGTCTGGGTAGGAGTCAGACAGTAACTTTTCTGAAGGAGATCATTGAGCCTTTCTCCTGAGTTGCTCTTGGGTAGACCCAAACCACCTTCCTTTGGGCTTACAACAGAGGGCATTGAGCACTTGCACCACCCAAGGACTCCAGTGGAGGAATAACATTACCTTAGGAACCAGGGAACAACCAACAGAACTGAGAGAGGTCTCCCAACAGAACAAATGAGGAAAGCATTCCCATATGTCAACCTCACAATCTGGCCTAGTCAACCCTAAAATGATGCCCAACCTGCCACAGTGCCTGGCATTGGGTTGGTACAACTATTCATTTTAATTCACCTTAGTTATAACTCCTTATGGGCATGTAATTAAACAGCAGGTGGGAGCTCCATTCAAATCCTTCTGTGATATTGTCTTAAACTCCTGGTTTCAATGTGTGGAAAAGCCTCAAACCATCTCCAAGCTCTCATTCCATGATAACCTCATGGTTCGGCTTAATATTTCCACTCTACACCCAGGTCCCAAGACACAGCCCATTCCCAATTTTCCATGAGAAATCCATTTGTGCCAACATTTGCTAAGTTTCTGAGAATTTCTTGAACATCAGACAATTATGGGGAATGGTTATGTTATGCACAACACAGCAATTTCATCATATCCAACAGCACAGCTGATTGACCATCTTGCTGGTTTTACCATCCTTTCTCTTTCTCCCTC